GACAACATGTTTGAATAATGGGGGAAAATCTTGACTGTAAAAAGGATGTTGGTTAAAAAAAAAAAAAGGATGCTGCTTGTCTTTGGTTAGGACTGTCTGTGGTTAATATTCGGTTTTATGAGTAAGGAAAAAATCTTAAAGCAAGACATCTATTCTTATTTTTTTCTCTTTTGTTGTTGTTATTGTTGTTGTTATGTTCTGTCAAGTCACCTGTGACCCACAGTAGCAGCTCTGCACCCTGCCCTGTCCTGAGCCAGTCCCACTGATTCTGACACACCAACCCCCACTGCCCCAAGATACTGTATCAACCCATCTCACCCCGGGTCTTCCTCTCCTGTGCTGTCCCTCCACACTTCACTCATGATGTCCTTCTTCAAGGACCGATCCATCCTGGCCGTGTGCCCAAAATATGTAAGACGAAGCTTCAAATTCCTAGCCTCCAAGGAGAGACTTGGTTTCACCCTTTCTAAGACCAACCTATTTGTTTTCTTGATGGTCCATGCTATGTTCAAGACTCTTCTGCAGCACTGGAATTTGAAGGCATTGATTCTTCTGTCTTCCTCAGTCATTGTCCAGCTCTCTGAAGCATAGTAAGTAATTTAAAAGACCATGGTCTAGATTAGGTGCACCTTAGTCTCTAGACTGACATCTTTGCTTTTCAGCACTCTGCAGAAGTCCTTGACAGCATATTTTCCCAATATCATTTGTATTTTGATTTCCTGACTGCTGGTGTTAAGACTATTGTTTTGGAGCTGAGCAAGCTGTAAGTGTTAACAACCTCAATCTCTTTTCCATCCATTATGGTGTTGCCAATTGGCCCAGTGGTGAGAATCTTTTTCTCTTTAGCACAACTTGTTTCTCATTGACTATTTCTACCCATCCTTGGTAAATTATTTTTTTTAATGTTCAAGGCTTTAAAGGAAAAGAAATAAAGACAAGAAAAAAAAAATCCTTAGAGATAGATCTAAATTTTAAAGCTTGTAATCTAAAGTTTCCAAAAGCCTCTTTCCTTTTCACCTTCCACTTTTTCTTCCCCCTCCACCTTTATGCCACTTCTTCCTCACAAAGTCATTCACATGTAAAATAAATGTGCACTGTGAATGGCTATGTTGACTAATTGTTCTTAATTCTTCTATCATCCTGAGAACAAGAAAAGCAAGACTGACACCTCGCTATGAAACTCTTAGGTAATAAAGTTAATAGCACAGCTAAGGACTACATAAAGGAAAGGCACAGTTTTTTCCTTAATGATGAAATGATATAGCACAAAGTCATCCTTCTCCAGTCCTCACCCCTGGCAAAGATTTTCATAGCAATGGACCCATTTCTTGTTGCATATGGTCAGAAACAGTTGCTAGAGCCAGCTGTGAACTTCCATTGAGTCGCCTTTGCCTCTGATCTTTCCTTTATAAATCGAGGTTAATCGAGGTTAACAGATAATACTAATCAAGACTAAGGTGAGCCTGATCCAGGCCATAGTCTTCGCAATCACTCGTTATGCATCAGAAAGCTGGACAATGACTAGGGAGGACAGAAGGAGAATTGATGCCTTTGAGCTGTGGTGCTGAAGAAGAGTATTGAATATACTACAGAAGACTGCAAAGAGAACAAACATGTTCATCCTAGTGATGGTGAGACCAGGCTGCTTCCACGGAGGCAAGGATTTTGAAGCTTCATCTAACATACTTTGGGCATATTGCAAGGCTGGACCAGTCTTTGGAGAGGGATGTCATGCTTGAGAGAGTGGAGGGACAGCGCAAGACAGGAAGAACCTCTACGAGATGGATTGATTCAGTAACTGGGGTGATGGAGGTAGGTGTGTCACAGATAATAAGTTTGGCACAGGATTGAGCAGGGTTTAGGGCTGTTGTGCTTAGGGTCTCTATGAGTCACAGGTGATTTGACAGCAGAAAACGTTGCCTGGTGCCCAGTCATCTGGACTCTCTCCAGCATATCTGACATCATTAAAGCTATTTTGTTAATCTATCTAATCCAAGATTTCCCATCTCTCCACTTCACTAATGTCCTCCTCCGTGTTTGATCATACCTGATGCTATGTCCAAAGGAGCAAGTTACCCCTGAATTTTCCATTGGCACATGTTCAGTAGATAATCAGGCCTTTCTTCCTTCTCTTTTCTGGAAGTTCTGCTGAAACTTGCCCACTATAAGTGCTCTTACTAGTATTTGAAATACTGATGGGTGCACCGTATGGTGTTATTGTTGTTTTTAGTCAAGTAGCCTGTGACTCATAGCGACCCTATGTACAACAGCTGTGGTGCATGCTCTGTCCTGATCCAGTTTTATGACTCGGATACACCTACCCCCCATTGTCCCAGTTACTGTATCAATCCATTTGATCTTGGATCTTCTCCTGCATTGTCCCTCCACTCTTCTGAGCATGATGTCCTTCTCAAAGAACTGGTCCCTCCTGGCCATGTGTCCAAAGTATATGAAACAGACCTTCAAAATCCTTGCCTCCAAAAGGCATTTTAAGACTTCACAGAGGAAGATATTCAGATGGCCAACAGACAGATGAAGAAATGCTCAAAATCACTGGAAATAAGAGAGATGGAATTCAAAATCACAATGAGACACTATCTCACCCTACTGGCAGTGGAAAAGTTTAACAGGACAGTAAGTAATAGATGTTGGGAGAGGATGTGGAGAGACAGGAACTTTTAAACACTGCTGGTATGATTATAAAATGATAGAACCACTCTGGAAGGCAGTTTGGTGCTTCCCCAGAAAGCTGAACATTGAAATTCCATATGACCCAGGTATTCCACTGCTTGGAATATACCCTGAGGAAATGAGAATTGAGGCACAAATGGAGATTAGTACACCAGTGTTCATAGCAGCATTATTCACCATCACAAGACCATGGAAACAGTCCAAATGTCCAACCACAATTGAATGGATTGAGAAATTATGATATATTCACAAGATGGAATACTATGCAGCAAGCAGAAGCAATGATTTTGAAAATCATTATCTAACTTGAGAGGGACTGGAGAGCATTATGTAGGGCGAACTATCTCGGTCCCATAAGGACAAATACTATATAGACCTTTATTGTAGACATAGAAAGTTAACTAGTAATACATGTATGATCCAAGGGTGGGAAGAGGGTGGGAGCAGAGGGGTGAAGATGGTGGGGGAAGTCATTATAGGGTCTCACAATTTGATGGGTAGAGGAAGGGGTGGGTAAAGGAAATGGGAAAAATTTGGTGTGGAAATAAAAATATAGGAACTTTGTAAGTAAGCCAGTATAAAATAAAACTTAAAACTTGGTTTCACCCTCTCCAAGATAGACCTATTGTTTCCCTTGGCAGACCATGGTATGTTCTATTAAATTACTCATCTCTAGCTCTATGATGCATAGCAAGCAATTGTGAAGACCATGGCCTAGATCAGGCACACCTTAGTCTCTAGACTGATATCTTTGCTTTTCAGTACTCTGGAGAGGTCCCTGACAGCAGATTTTCCCAGTGCAATATATTTTTTTTATTTCCTGACTGCTGGTGCCAAGAGTGTTGATTGTGGAGCCCAGCAAGCTGCAATTGTTAAACACCTCAAGCTCTTCTCCAGCATCACAGCATTCAAGTTAGTGGACAGACGGCCGGAGGACAATATACATGAGCTATAGCTTGGAAAAGGAGCTCTGAGCAGCTTAGTGGTAAAGAATAGCACTGCCACTTCAAAGATACAGGGTTCCAATCCCTCAGCTACTCCAAGGGATAAAAAATGGACAATCTCCTGAGGGATTAATAAACTTTGGAAAATCTGTTGAGAGTCAGCTATGAATCAGTTCTGACTCAATGTCTCTGTTGCAAAAGGACAAGTACTGCATAGTGCGACTGTTGTAAAATGGGACTGACATCAGGGTTGGGGGAATTTAAGAAAAGAGGGGATAAATAATGTATACGGCATTGAAACAGATGAGAGAGAGAACTGTTTAAAAGGAATATATGATTAGGTATTATTGTTATAATAAGAGTGCAGAATAAGAGCTGCATAGTAAAGTGGACTTGGAGGAGGGGAGACTGTATAACAATGAAAGAATGGGGTTTTTTGGGTTTTTTCTTCAATGAGAAATGGGCAGGGAGGAAAGTGGCCAACAATATATGAATGGAAATCAAAAGTTTCTGTTAACTTTCATTAAAATTAAAAAAACAAACAAACAAACGAACCCAAAACCACCCCAAACATAGCTTAGAAAGTGGAGTCAGAGTAGGAGAAAAAGACCCTCAACAAGATGGGTTGACACAGTGATTGCAATGATGGGCTCAAGTAGCAGAGAGGGGGGACGTGACACAGGATAGGGCAAGGTCGCTGTGAGCCATAGTGGACTTGATGACACATAACTGCAACATTTTTATTTTTAGGGTTAGGGCGTTGCTTTTCTTTTAGGTGTTTATTTCAAATAATCACTTGATTTGGAAGATAGGGGGGAGGAAAGCAAGTTGGCTTGTTGGAAAGGGGAAGGGGGGCTATCATTAAGAAGCCAGTAAGAATAGCAAAGAAGTCTTTCCTAAAGTCCCCAAAATAAACTTTAGTGCGGATCCCACGGTTAGACGATACTATCATACGACGAAGCCACAAATCTGTAGATTTGAAAGACCAACAGGAGAAATCCGGGACAAGAGGAGGAGACATTTCAACTTCTGAGGAGCCAGAAGGGGGCCCCAGCTCAGCTTTTAAGCCACCCAATTTCTCGGCGCATTTCCCGAGCAGCCTCCACGTTCCCAGGGCGTCCTGTGTAGAGGGCGTGTCTGTGTTTTCTCCACCTCATCCTTAGGGCAAGGGCCCCTCAGGATAGTTACAAGGTCTGGGACATCCGCCGCTGGCAGAGCAGGAAGAAATTAGCTCCGAACCCTCGCGCCTAGTGGGCGTGGCTCTTCAGACGACTTCTTCTCATTGGTTGAGGCTGTCCCAGGGCGGAGTCAGTGCCTACCAGTCCCAGCCCCTCCGCGACCCAGGTCCTTGGGGGGGGGGGGGGGGCGAGAAGCGGGCCAGGTGAGCGAGCTGCGTGCGCCTGCACCTGGGAAGCTCTGTCCCAGGACCATGGCGGGACAGGTGAGGCTGCCGCCTGGAGAGCCTTGCCAAGAAGGTGAGTGTCTGCTTCGGGGCTGGAGACCAGCATCTGGGTAGCCGGAAAACTGGGTGTCTAGTCGATGCCGGGGTTCTCGTGGAGTCTCGGGTTGGGTGTACTGACCCTGAGCGTATTCATTCACGTCCCAGCCAGTCAGCCAACAAATATTTGAGTGGGCACGATGCGCCAGGCTCTGTGGGAAGAAAGCCTTGGGGGATCAGGACAGTAGTGGTTCTCCCTCTGGTTCAGAAAGCACACCAACTAAATTACAGTGATCTGGGTGACGTGACGCGGGAATCGAGGGAAGACTCCACGTGCCATTTGAGAAGGATCATTTTCACCTCGACTAGCTCCCTCCCAGAGGCCCCTGTGGACAACCAGCTCTTGAGCTAGGGGCGCATGTGGGAACCGGCTGCAATCTGGTGCTGCTCCCTGCGCTGGTGTCGCCAGAGGCGGATACCGGGGGTGGATATCCCTGTCCCTGGCGCAGGGCCCTGGAACCGCCCAGGGGTCCCGCGTCTCCTTTCTTCCTTGGAGATGCAGAAACATCTCTAACGTCACTGGCCTCCCCTCTGAAACGCTATGCAGTCACTTAAGGCGAGAGTCCCCGCAAGAAAGAACGTGGGGAACTGGGTGCGGTCCCTAGGAAGCTTTCCTTACTGTTTGCTGGACTGGATTGTTAGCCTCCATCCAAGTTCTGTGAGAGCAATTGTTGCAGTCCCTTGGTCTTTACAAGCACTGGCAAGCGTTCTTCGGTTTCAAACAGAAGTTACAATTGCATGTGAATCTGACTAAAACGGGGTTGGGTGAGGTTATGGGACGAATGTGCTTACTGGAATGATAGTTTTCACTATATCATGGAGAGAAGCAATTTCTGAATTTCCCTAGCAATAGACTGAGGAAGACAGTAATAGTGAGAAATTGGTTTGTTGGTATACTTCCTGATAGCTTTTCAATGTCTTCTCCCCTTGGTTTTTCCATTTTATTTCTTGATCAAGAGAGTGAAAAACACAAAGGTAATGAAATAGTCAAAACTTTGTGTGTAAGAGACAAGGAGCATAAAGAAAGAAAATGCCTGAACAGTCCATAAACGGTTAAGGAGAACTGGTTGCTGGACAACTGGATCAAGAATCATTTCCTAGATAGACAAGCTGTGTTCCTTTTTCTAAATAATTCCAAAACCAATAAGTCAGAATACCAGTACATCCACCCTTGTTTACCCAAGGATCAGGAAGTGTAGGTGTGTGAATGAAACCACCTACTGGAACTTCCAGATGTTTTTCCTGCTTTCCTCATGCATTTCGTTTCAAAAAGAAATAGTCAAGTAATAACTTTGATTAATTGTGGTAATTTATGGGAGACTGACGGGAAAGATTTGAGAAAAGTAGAAATCTACCTTCTTTCCTATTAGTAGGAAAAGACTGGATTAACATTTGACCATCCTGAGCCCTTCTTGTCTGTAAAATGGGAATGATGCCTAACCTTTTACACTGCAAATGAGATTACATATGGTACCTATGGCTCATATCTTGATAGGAAGTAAAGACCTTGTTTTTTGCTTGTTAATATTTATTCAAATAACTAGCAAGGTTATGCAGATGATACAACCCTGCTTGCTGAAACTGAGGAGGACCTCATGCACTTGCTCGGAAGGGTCAAGGACTGCAGCCTTCAGTATGGACTGAGGCTCAATGTCAAGAAGACAAAGATTCTCACCACTGGACCAGTTGGCAGCATCAGGATGGATGGCGAAGAGATTGAGATTGTTCACAGCTTCAGTTTGCTCAGCTCCACAGTCAACATTCTTGGCACCAGCAGTCAGGAATCAAAAAGCGTATCACGATGGGAAAGTCTGCTGTTAGGGACCTCTCTAAGGTACTCAGGAGCAACACTGTCTCTCTGGAGACTAAGGTGCGCCTGATACAGGCCATGGTCTTTGCAGTCGCTTGTTATGCATCAGAGAGTTGGACAATGACTAGAGAGGACAGAAGAAGAGTTGATGCCTTTGAGCTTTGGTGCTGGAGAAGAGTATTGAGGGTACTGTGGACTGCTAGGAAGACAAACAGATTCATCCTGGAAAGAGTCAAACCTGGCTGCTCCTTGAAGGCAGGGATTCTGAGGCTCTAACATACTTTGGACATGTTGCAAGGAGGGGCAGGTCCTTGGAGAGGGACATCATGCTTGGTAGGGTGGAGGAACAGCCAGAAGGGGAAGGCCCCCTATGAGGTGGATTGACTTTAGTGATTGGGGTAATCGGGATGGGTGTGTCAGAGATGGTGTGATTGGCACAGGCCAGAGTTTAGGGCTCTTGTACAAAGGGTCACTGAGTCTAGGGCACATACCAACAACAATAACAGCCTAGGGCCTGAGATAGAGAGATTTGCAAGACAATTTCATGTTCCTGCTTTGAAGAATTTTAAGATAGCAGATAATAGGCAAGAAACAAATGAATAAAAAAATTATCATAGATAAAAGATTATCAGTATCCATGGTTAAAGTATTAAGAGAGTTGTAGATGTGTGGATTAATCTTCTATAGTAAGTATTGCACTTTTCACTTTCAAGGTTATGACTCTGCACAATGTGGGTTATTGGGGTTGTTGCTTAGTCTTCATCCAGGGTTGCTGATGAGCCTTCATTTAATTTTAAACCACAGTTTCTTCATATAGTCTATCTTCCAAATTATTTACTAGGCTTACAGACAAATTTCTGATTTATGTCATTCAGTGTTCACTTCTGTTCAGACAACTGCTTCTTGGTCTATATATGGGTTTGGCATGAGTACTATTTGTTGTTGTGTACTATCAAGTTAGTCATTGTCCAGCTCTCTGATGCATAGCAAGTAATTGTAAAGACTGTGTCCTGGGTTAGGCACACCTTATATCTAGACTTAAATCATTGTTTTTCAGTATTCCAGAGAGGTCCCTGAAAGCAGACTTTTCCCAGCACAATTCATCTTTTTTTTTTTTTTTTTT